CATGTAAAAATAGTTTATTCGTATTTTAGATATATATCGTGCAAGTTCAATAAAGTCTTGATGCCACGCATCGTATGTTACGTAATAAATGTTTCCGGATTCTACGATCCAGATTTTTATTTTCAATCTCCGCGAAACAGTATCCAATTGATTGAGACGGAGCTTGATAGCGTCATTTATAGCGATCAAAGAAACGTCTAAGACAAAATACCATCATTTTTACACAAAGTGCAAGGAGACAAAAGACTTGTTCGAAATAAAGGCAACCGCCTTTAGTCGCTTCGCCAAGCAAAGTACTGCACTTGTTGCGCTTATCGTTTAAACGGTGGCATTTTTCTCTGATTTTAAATTCTTAAGAAATTATAGACATTTCTTTTTTTCAAACACAATATGAGTTTGTTTTTTTATTCGCTTAAAAAAAGATGTTATAACAAATGTTTGAAATATTATGTCAGTTTGAAAAGGATTTAAAGATATATATTATATATCACAAAATATTTTTTCAACGATGTACTCATTCTAATAAATAACTCATGTATTAGATTTGTCAAAATAATTATAATCTCTTACTATTAAAGTGAAAGAGAGAGAGAGAGAGAGAGAGAGAGAGATTGAAAAAAAATTTTAAGGTAAATTTATTCGGGGATCTATAATCTATATGTAAAATATGTCTTCCACGCGTAGCATCGATTTTATTTTTTGACAGTTCCGAATAGTAAGATCAACGGGTGAAGCTGCACAAACTGCATCGGGTTGCCGGCCAGTCAAATGTCAACTTTATATATGCTTTCCTGATCCATATGTCGACATGAAAATCCGTCGTGCGTCAGGTTGGAGTGATTGCAGGATGCTCGTACGAAGGTAGAAACGCAATGAAGCGTCACGCTTCGATCGAGTAAAAACAATAACAAAAAAATTTTCGAAATGACTGATATTCGGTTCAAGTTTTAACACAGCGCGTGAAGAAGAACGAGAGAGAGAGAGGGAGAGAGATAAAGAGAGTCAGAGAGATAAAAGAGAAAAATATGCCCGTAGGAATTTGCATTTCGCAGACCCAGCCCGATTGCTTTCTCCTCGCCAAAAGTTTTTTGGATATTTCGGGATTTGATTTAAACGCCCGCGCGGCGAAGCTACGGATTTCGTTAAAAGCTCGAAATACAATACGTGCCCGAGATAGATTAGTTCAGTAAACGTCAACGCCGGATCTGCAAGAATTTGGAACGGATAGACGTGTTATAGCGTACATCACACATTCATATGTACACACATACTCGTATACATGCACGCGCGCAGGTTGAGAGATATAATATTTATCTTCGAGAGAGCCGGAAATTTCGTTTCAACGATGCACTGCGACGGAGAATACCTGGTAGAATACAAAGTGAATTACAATAAATGAATTTCGTTGAATATTTTTTACTTTCTCATCCCCTTTGTCCCACTACTCGTAATCATTTCACAAAGAATTGTGAAATTTTTTTACATATTTCTATTAAAATGTTTATTTAATTTTTATATTATATTTACATGGGAAATGCTTATTTTGCTTGTTTCAATTTTAATCGTTCAATATTTGCGTAAGGTCAATTTGATCTTCAAGCAATTTTTTTGCTCGATATTGCAATCTGTGTTGGACTTTGCTGTTCTTTTTGTTGACAATTAGTTATTATATACTTGCCACAAGTATAAGATTTTTCTTCTTTACGTTTATTTCCCAAATATTTGTTGTTGTTCTAATATATTTTTCATATCGGATATATGAGGCTATCTCTTGCAAGAGAGAAAAAGGGACCGTTTATATCTTCTCTCATAAGAAAACTGAATTGGAAACCGTGGATGAAGCAGTTCCTTTATAAAAATGTTAATATTCAACTCGGTAACTTTGGTTCTTTAAATCTATGATATTAGACTGAAATAAAATATAATCCTTTTATAACATTTCCTTTAATACAAATCATCTGATAAAGGAATCTCCAGCTTTCTTGAAGAATTTTTTGATAACAAAGATATGTATAATAGAAAATAAAAAAAATTATGATTAACGCGTTTAAATTATTTAATACAAATAATATCTTATTTCTCGAAACAGAATTATATTACTTCAAATTAAAATAAAATATATCTTTATACACTTTATACCGACAGAATACGCAAGAGCAATAAAATTGTAAATAATAAATATAATTATAACATTAATCTAAATATCAAATATATTTAAATTATATGTCAAAAATATTGATGTCAAAAATTATTACAAGTACTAAGTTTTTCGAGTAGATATTTAATAAATCAATTAAGTATTTTTTAAAAATACTTAAATATAGAATTTCTCGAAAGTAAAATGATTATACGAAATTTTGTCCGTCACTTTTAACGTTAATCATACATGACGCGCACTTTCATCGAGATGGAAAAATAAGGCGAAAAAAGCAAGCAACGCGCAAAATTACGATTTTTTTCCATTCGCAACGTCTTGCAGATTAACGTAAATGGACAAATCTCAAACGATGGGGAAAATTTGAAAATTATTCGGTTAAATTTATACGCTAGCCGCTGTGGTATATCATACCTGTTGCTCCAATCTATATTTTCGTGCACCAGAACTTTGAATAAGAAATAGTATACGCTCGCGTTTTAAAATGATTACTATCGTGTGATATAAGTGAATAAATGAGTTAAAATTGAAGATAAGAGTATGCACAAAAATGAAATATTCGGAAATATACTGGTAATTTTCCCTGTTCTCACGTTAATAAAATACAATCAAGTAAAGAATATAAAGCTGAATAAGGCAATGAAATATATGATGAGTTTATTAAGAAAATAAATATATAATTTTTTTACTATAACACACACTTGTATTTTTTATTTTACAAATAAAAATGTACATATATTTTATATATAAGATATTCAAATTATTTTCTTCTTTTTCTTTCTTGTTGCTTATTTGCAGACCAAATATGTCGATACAAAAAAAACGTATAATTTCAATAACTGGAATTAGTGAATATTTCATGAATAATTCACGTAAAATGAAGGGTATTGAAAGAGAGATGGGCGTTTTCGGAGCATTAGATACATACATACATATATATATATATGTAAAGATATACCTCATGCTTTTCTGTGAACGAAATCTGAAAAAAGAACAGTTGAAATTCTTCTACGGAAAGCTTTAGTTGCTTGCTTCTTTCATCGAAATTTTTCTCTTTCAAAATTACCACGCACTTCAATCGTTTTACAGAGAAGTTCGCCTTTCTTTCTCGCTTTTCTGCTAACACTCGTGAACGGCATTCCCAAGTAATTTGCTGTAAAGCTGTTTTCCGTTTAACCGCCAAAGATAGTTCCCGGGGATTCCTAATACCTCTTCGATGGAATCTATGGTAATGCCAAAATTACCTTTTTCACCCATTTTACTTCGGAAACGTGCGCTTTATACGCTTTCTGTTATTCTTAACTCTTACCAAAGCCGATCGTGATTTTTGACAAATTAAAACTGAAATAGTATTTCCGTGGTGTCTACACGGCAACTAGCATTATTTATACAAATAAAACATTTCACGGTATTTTTTAATTATTTTTTATTATTTTTTTAATTTATTATTTAATATGCTCTTGTGATGTGCGCGCACTTATAATGAAACTAAAAAACCTAGAAAAGAATTATACGGAAATTACAAATGAAAAATGTAATTCCACAAATTTGAAGTTCTTTAGTTCCGACAACTGTTTAAAGGAAGAACAAGTTTAACGAAAGACTGGAAGAAAGTTGATAGAAAGAAAATAAATAAATAAATTTCCACATATCTTTTATATTAAAAATGTTCCTGTCACGAGATGTCCCTGAAACTTCTGCGCTGCCAGCAGGATCCTATCACTTCTTCTTGTAGCAAGTTGCCATTTCTTCAGCAAAATGTATCTCGAAAGCTTTGCGAACTTTTCGCGTGTCTTCCATTTATCAAACCAACTCGCGTTATCTGGATACAGTCTCTGAAGTTAACTCACGCGAGGCGTTAGAAGCTTGCTGGTAACACTGTGACAAGCGTGAATATAAAATCAATATACGCGCGCGTTTCACACCGAGCAAAACCTTTGTGGCATGGCGACGAATTTTCGACAAAATACATAGTTCCGCCGTACGTGACTGTGCGTATTCTTCTTTCGTTTCTCTCTCGCTTTGTCTCTACATCAAACAAGTATTGTACATCGGTACTTGTCGAATCGACGTACCGATTCGATCCTACATATAAACTTCGCTCACGTAAATACACGTAATCTTGTCTCATATTCATGCACAAGCTTACAATTGTATTTTTTTTGACTCGGGATGTTTCATTATATATGATTTAATTATAAATAATTTTATATTATTTAGTAAATATTTTTTTATAAATTTTAATATATGTACATATATTTATATATGTATACACATAAATCATGACTTTAATTTAATTTGTTATACAATTTATGAAAAGAACAAATTATAGAGAATTTTTAAGTAAAGAAGACAAAACAATCTTTATTAAATTACAAAACCTACAAATGTATTTTTTTGACTCGGGATGTTTCATTATATACGATTTAATTATAAATAATTTTATATTAGTAAATATTTTTTTATAAATTTTAATATATGTACATATATTTATATATGTATACACATAAATCATGACTTTAATTTAATTTGTTATATAATTTATAAAAAGAACAAATTATAGAGAATTTTTAAGTAAAGAAGACAAAACAATCTTTATTAAATTACAAAACCTACAATTGTATTTTTTCATTATATACGATTTAATTATAAATAATTTTATATTAGTAAATATTTTTTTATAAATTTTAATATATGTAGGGTAGATCGGGGCTAGTTGAGCCATGGGGCAAGTAGGTCAATGGCTGTTATTCAGAAACAAAGATGCGTACAGGAATGAGCTTGCACGTGCAAGAGCGTTTTATAACGATGATATCGCGCATCTAATTTAGTCGCGTTCAGTCATTCGAGACGGACGGACACACGACATATGTTTTTATATCTTGTTCGTGAACTTTTTGTCGTTATTGAGTTTTGATCTCAAACGTTAACGAGAGGGTAGAAAAAATTGAAGTAAGTAATTTTAATATTTGTTATTATTATATTATTTGAGGCTATTGTACAAATTGCATATTTTTAAACAATATGCGAGTTATAAGGATATATATTGAAGAATTCATAGACGGGGCTAGTTGTGACAGTGGCCCAACTTACCCCACATGCATAGTTAAATAATGTAATAATTTAAATATTAATTTTGCTGTTTAATTATTTTAGAATGCGTACATATAAGCGAAAGACAAATAAAGCTTCTACAACACAGGAACAACTTCAAACAGCTGCAAATGCCATTTTAAAAGAAGGAAAGAGTATAAGAGCAACAGCTGATGAGCTTTATATTCCAAGAATGACTTTATCCAGATATATGGAAAAATTTAAGTCACATTATAATAATGTAAAGAGTTAATTTCATTAAAATTATTTAATAATATAATTATTTTTCAATGATTTCCTATCTAATTTTAGTTTTTCAGCTCATTGACCAACTTATTTCACACGCTGTCTCAACTTACCCCACTAGTGGGGCACGTTGAGCCACTTGTTCTGCCGTCATTTGAGACGTTTCTCCTTTGTTGTGATTACATATTTAAAATTTTTTTGGTTATAATTAGGAGCTCACATGTCAAGCCTTTCATTTGATATAATCTTCATTTTTAAACTATAAATAGATAAATATTTATATGACTTTAAACAAAAAGTGGCTCAACTAGCCCCGGTCTACCCTACATATATTTATATATGTATACACATAAATCATGACTTTAATTTAATTTGTTATACAATTTATAAAAGAACAAATGATAGAAAATTTTTAAGTAAAGAAGGCAAAACAATCTTTAAGTTACAAAATCACTATAGCAAATTTAAATAATCGATGTCTTATAAATTGAAGATAATAAACACGATGTAAAATTGCTTATATATATATATATATAATTGCGCTATTTTTAAGTCTCACATCAATAATCCGGAATGCTATTTGCGTGCCTTTTATTTTTAATTACGTACGATATTTAAAGCGAGATTTAACCCTTGTTAACATCATGTTCGTACATTTGAGTGACATCATAGCAAAATGAAAAAGACTTCGTTGTGGCGTGGATGAAACAGCGGGAAAGATGGAAAACGCGCGCGTGAAGAACCAGAAATTGAGTTCGTAGTATTTTGCATATACCAGAGTGCCGTTTTATCATGGAGAATCGTCAGCCACGGCGTGCGTTTACACAAGAATCGTCCATCCGTATGTACATCCACCGCCGAGGGAGCAAAGAAACAAAAAGGAATTAGGAGAAACATTCCGACGCAATTCGCTCCGCGGTTAAGTTCCTTTTTTCCATATCGCCATGTTTATTCCTCGACGGGTTTTCTGCCGTTCGTTGTAAGCAAATTTCGTCTGTGCTTTTTCAAGGAAAAATTTGAAAAGTCGCTTAATTTTCTAGGGTAGAAAAATAATTTTTTGGGGTATGGCTACACTGAAAAAAATATTTATGTAAAATTACATGATTAAGCTAGGTTTTTTCCGACCCAGCATAATCATGCAATATTGATACTTATATGGAAGATTACAGATTATATGTAATTTCATATAAAATATATTCTTGAATATTTTTAAGATTAAAAATATTTTATTAAACATATAATAAAATAGATAAATACTTATAAAATAAAATTCTAATAAGGTAAAAATAGTAAATTTAAAATTACATATGATTTTTGCATAAAAATAGTAATTTTACCTATATTTTACATGTATTTTTACATTAATATGTATTTTCACTTTAAAACAAATGGAAAAAAAATTACAGTGATAAGCAAATAACTTTTCCAGTTCTGAACTAGTAATTTTCATGTAAAACATGGATTTTTTTCGGTGTAAATATAATAATTTAAATTGCATTCTAATATGTTCTCAAAGTATTTTTATCTGTGAAATTATCAAAAATTGAAAAATCGCTTAATTTTGTAGGGTAAAACAATAATTTTTTAAGGATATGGCTAAATATAATAATTTAAATTGCATTTTAATATGTTTTCAAAGTATTCTCTGTGAAATTATCAGATGAGAAATAGCTATCAGAGAATTTGATATTAAAAAAAAATAATAATAATATTCTGTCTTATACAATAATATTATTTCTCTTGATAATTAGAAAGATATGTAGACTCTCAAATTATTTGTTCTTATTATTGTAGATTAGTAAAATTAATATCGAACGAGAGAAAATGATATACAAATTTATCTGTGATGGAGTTAAAAGTAGGTCAATATATAATTCGTTCTTTTGAGTTTCTACGATATTAATATTATGTATTTCAATTTATATATTGTATATACATAAAATTTGTCAACGCTAAAATAATAATTTATTTTTTAAATTGCCATTTTAATTGAAAAATAACGTCTGCCTGCGGGGTATGCTTGTTCCATTTGCGACAATAATCCAAACTCACTTTGCAAGGAGTGCAGAAATGAGAAGAAAAATGAGACTTTTATAATGATATTTACGATTTTTTATTCGCGATAAAATACGATGTATATTATGCCAGCCGTTTTTCTTCTGATTACCCACATTTTCCGGTTCTCCATATTTTTGTAAGGATATAAGATGCGCGCGTGAAAACTAGAAGAATTTGCATCTTGACGATGCGGCGGAAAGATGATTTAATAAACTGGAACAATTTCGAGACACAAGCAAGAGAACAGACGAAGATTGTGCAGAGAAAAAAGTTTTATTTGATCTTCGACTATATCGAGACTTTCTGGGGAAATCCCAGAAGAAATATTCCGTCCGCAGAAACGGAACGAGGAGTGCCGTAATAAGCAATGAATTCTCATCGCGACTCTCGGAATGGGTCCTCTCATGACAACAGAATCAGTGATGCGGAGAGAAATTGCTGCAGCAATCAAATGACGCGAACATCCAGTACGTCGATGCCTTTCGGGCAAAGACGCGTGTAAATTAATGTGACGAAGAACATTTACCGAGCTAGAGATACTTGTATAATTAGCAATTACTAGCTATTTATATTGATAAATTTTAGATTGATTACGAAAGACGAATATATACAATGTTAAAATTCATAATTGCCAAAGAATATTAAATTGCAAAACTTGAAATAATTTTTAGAATTGTTTATAAAATAATTTGAAATCTAAGTCGATAGATTTAATAACATCTATTTTGAGATATTTAATTGATTGTTCAAGTCAAATGTTAAATGTAATGTTTGTTTGCTCTAATGTTCATTCATAATGCTTTATTTAGGTTGCAAGCTATACCGTTATAAGCGACATTAAGAAATAGATACCAGATAAAAAAAGAATCGAAACGCCTGCAAAAATGAAAGAACAGTGATTGAAGTCTTATCGAATATCCAGTTTTCGCTAGTAACGCTACACAGTTCTTTTATGCGGAAATTTATTTTGCTCGAAGATCTTTGTTCTAAAATGACAAATGCATTTGATAAACGAAGAAAGGGGAAAATGTATCAAAATAATTCGGTCTAATTTTTATTATTAATTATACGTATTATATAATACATTTTTTCTTTTTATGAACTTTGTCAATTTAATCGAACATATTGGAACTTTATTATTCAATTTTGCATTTTTATCAGAAACAATAGATTTGGTTGTTATTGTTGCGTATATAAAAAATCATATTTATAATATATGTACATTTTATTCTTATATATGTGATATATTATAAACTTTTCTAATTATTATTGCTAACAAATTCTTTAAAATATATTTTTAAATGTATTATTAAATTAAGAGATAATTATAAATAGATGATATATATAACATCAAAGATTTAGAAGGATGAAGCTTAAGAACATTCGAAAATATTGATTTTTTTATCGCTTGATTTATTCTCAAGTATTGCGAGGGTGGTGTGCATGTTGCCTAAATCTGCTAAAGATTACTCCATAGTATCTTCTGGCACAAAGTTCAGTGATGTGAGAATTCTCGACATTTCGAGACAGTCCAGGCTTTCTTATCGAAGCCGCAATGGCAGCAGCCGTTGCTAAAGTCGGGCTTGTTCAATCTCTCAGCTGCTGCGGGATGATTAATGACCTAATAAACTATGATAGCAGTTTGTTCGAGGTGCCGAATAAACGACGCCACGATGAATCGCTTCATCATGTGGTCGGACAAACAATCGGGATGCAATTGCGAGAACGCAAGGGAAACGTTAATTTAATCACTTGCAGGTGAATTCTCACGGACGACTTGCAGTAAGGCGATTAAAAGTCGTTGGATGAAAACGAGAGGCGCAGACTTTCTCTTTAAAATGATAGTTTTCTTTCTTCTCTCTCCCTGGTCTCTCTTGGCTGCGTTTCTCTCTTCAGGATTTTTTGCATTTTTTCTATGTTCTCATCCACTCTCACTTTTTTTCTCTTCTTCCTTCCAGTGGAGAAGACGCGTCAAACATCGATCTATAAAAGTAACTTTTGAGTGATTAAATAGTGAAGAAGAGTGATGGAAAGTTGTTGAAGTTATAGCAGTAAAGACAGGATTATCAGTGTTATTTAATCGGATGTTTGCTGATTTGTAAGCGTAAAAACTGTATTTTTGTATGGGTACATCAAGATTTTGTACGACAGGTAGACATTAAAGGTGAACAAAAAATGCTGACGTATAAAGTTAAAAACAAATAAGATAACTGATAATTTTCGCTGATATTAACGCTTTCGGTCATTAAATTGTCACTATAAAAGAAAAATATAAGAAAGGTATAAGAAAAGTATAAGTATCGGTGCTCGGTATGAAAGAAAGTAATAAAAAGGCAGTTTGTGACATGCAAGACTTGTTAAACTTTTTTATTATCGAGGATGTGTAATTAAGGACAAAATTTATGATAGAAACCAGGAATTTGTTGTGCTTGGCTTATCTCAGTTTATAATAGAAAATGATAAAGAAGCAGTGATATATGAAGAAAGAAAATCGACATTGACAAGGAAATTAATAGGATTTCCAGGATTGATTATGACATAAACAATGAAAACAGAGCAGCAGACGTAATTGAAGCATCGGATATTAATATAAAAAGTTTATAATGTAGATTATAAAAATGATGAAGGAAATGAAACACATTACATAAGAAGAAAGTCAAGATAATGCTTAAGAAAATTGTTCGAGAAAAATTAGAAAATATTAAACAAGAACTGAAAGATTTGAAAAGAAAGATACAGGAAGGAGCTTGTGAACCATCACGAGAAATTCAAAGAAGCTATAGTAAAGCAGTTAAAAAGAAGAATAAAGAAAATGTTTTAATTAGCAAACCGGAGATGTAACAGGAGAATAAAGTTACTAAAAAATTGGTAAAAGAAGATGTAGATATAAATATAGCTATAACGAAATTAAAAAATATAGAAGGTAAAGGAATTCTGGAAGGAATAGTTTCTTTTATGAAACTGGAGAAGAAA